ATGGGCTGCTCTCAGCAAAGGGGGCTGGGATCCCAGCCTGGGGCAGGGAAGCTGCTACCAGCTCATAGGGGGCAGAGGGAGCCATCCCAGAGAGGGTGGGGAGGGGGCTGAAGAGGGTGGGGGCAGATAAGAGAGGTGAAGGGGAACAGGGACGTGTGAGGTTGGGTGGATCATGCCAGTCAGGGGGTGGCTGGGAGCAGTGATGCAATGAAGGAAAACTGGGGGGTCACAGGAAGGGAAAGGGAAAGGGGGAGTTTGGGGGGAGACTGGGGGAGCAAGAGCAGCCTGGCTGGGGAAGAGGGAGACACAGAGTAGGACTTGTACAGAAGGAGATGGGGGGATAAAACAGCAGCTCCTCCCTTCCATGGGGCAGGAGTGGAGAGGGCAGAGGTGACTGCTGGGAGCACTTGAGGGCACCAGATCCTGCACCCCTGATAAAATTTCTCAAGTCTATAACCAGGGTGTCCCAAATGCCCCCTGCCTCTGAGGCTGCCTCTCCCTGCGCCCCTCCTTCAGCAGGCACCAGTGGCCCCGGGGGAGGAGCTGCCCCCTCCAGCAGCTTGAGGGGAATTTCTTCTGTGATTTTTTTTAGTGTTGATATCTGCAAACACTGATCTGTAGGGACTGGGAACAGTTTATTTCCATATTTGCATATTGGTTATTTGCATAGTGTACATGCAGATATGCAGGGCTTGACAAACCCCGCAAAAGCCACTCACCAGTCCCACACTGCACATGCATGAAACACCGGTGAATGGGGCTCATGGAGTGACCGGCTGAAATCTTCTCACCACGGGTGAGTAGACTCAGCGGTTTGTTGAGCCCTGCAGCTATGTAAATATAATATTACTGGCCCAGCAAAAGTTTGTGAATGGGTTTGGCCATCCATTATATTAAAAAAAAGGTTGGGAAACACTGGCTTGATCCACAGAGGCTGACCAAATCAAGGCAGGGAAAACACTAGGACTACGTTGTTGCGTCTTCTTGCACGAGTGATATGCAAATGAGGCTAAGCGTTGAAGATCATTGAGCCTCATTTGCATACCTAATGAGCTACCACTTTTTTCAGAAGAGGCTCTTGCGTAAGAAGGACCGTCTACACTGCCCCTTCTTGCGCAAGAAAAACCCTCTCACGCAATGCCGTTCTTCCTGAAAAGTAATAGGTGTAATGGCATTGCACAAGTAGACGCTCCTTCTTGCGCAAAAGCCTCTTCTGAAAAAAATGGTGGCTCATTAGGTATGCAAATGAGGCTCGGCGATATTCAATGCTTAGCCTCATTTGCATATTACTCGCTCAAGAAGCTGGGAGTGTAGACATAGCTCAGGTGAAGGGGGGGGCATTTTCCCCACCAGGCCTTTGTCCCTCGGATCCCTGGGGACGTTGGGTTTTGTCTTGTTTGGTTTCCCTTTTCCCTGCTTCCCTCCTCACTGGCAAGGAGGGGGCGGCTCTCTCAGCCTTGCAGTGGGAAGCCCTGGCACAGAGATGGGATGGGCAGATGCTCTGAGAGGGAGTCCCTGGGCTGTTGGAGAGAGAACTTTCTCATGTCTGCTCTGCTCAATGCAACCAGGATAGCCGAGTGGTTAAGGCGTTGGACTTAAAATCCAATAGACATTTGTCTGTGCGGGTTTGAACCCAGCTCCTGGTAACTTCCTGATTTGGAGAAACTTTGAGGCAGGTGGTGCGCAAATTAAAATAATTGCCGCTTCACTTACATAAAAATGGCTGCCGCGCTGTGCCGATCAGCTGTTTGGCAGCACAGTGCGGTGGTCTGGACGCTCCGCAGTTGACATCAAAGGCATTGCAGGAGGAGCAACGGTAGTTCGAATTAGGAGCTTTAATTCGAACTACCTAGCCCATGTTGCGTGTAGCCACGGGCAGGAGGTTTGAACTACGGGGCATTTAAAAATGGCGGCGCCCGGGAACATGCAAATAAAGCCCGGGATATTTAAATCCTGGGCTTCATTTACAAGTTCAAATGTCTACATTAGCCACCCTAGTTCGAACTAGGGTGGCAGTGTAGACATATCCTCCTAGGAGCTAGGCACAGATGATTTCCCCGCTGGTTCCTTCAACACCTTTATTCATCTCTGGCAATCACTTGCTGTTCACCTTCAGCCCTCCTCTGCTGCCACGTTGTCACAGCTCACAGGTTGTATCCACACTCGGTCCCCAGGCAAGACCCCCCTCTCCAGTATGGCAGCCCTTTCTCGGGATGCCTGCTCCAGTACAGTGGCAGTGAGACAGCCCCTTCTCAGGGAGTCCACTCCAGTGCAGGAACCCTCTTGTGGGGTGTCTATCCTCCGTCTCCAGGATGGCATCTCTCAGGACCTTCAGCATGCCTGCCTCCACTGTGAGCCCCCCACAGAGTGACTCTCGGCCAGCACAAGCCAGGAGGGATTATTGAGCTTTGAACACAGCAAAGGAACTCACAGGTCTGTAAGTCTGGCCTCCCTCAGCCCTGCATGTCTGAGTCTCTCCTGCAGCCTGGTGATCTCTGCCTGCTCTGCACTCTGTCCAGATCAGTCCCTTCCCCAGCCGCACCCTGTCTTCCAGCAGAGCCTCCAATATCTCCAGCAATAGCCCCTCCCCATCCATTGTCTCTATCCACATACAGAGGATTACCTGGCCCCCTCTCTTCTCTGCCTCTCCCCTCCTCCTTTCAATGATCTCTTCTGGCTGGAACCAGCTGGGCCAGTCGCCGGGGTCTCGAACTGCCTGTGACCTCTGAGTGGCGTCTGTTGGTCACCAGGTCACTTGTCACTGAGACTCCAGTTCTGCGCTGTTCTCTGCAACAACAAACTCCTTCTCCTTGTCATATTTAACCAGTAACATCCCAGGGTTCTAAGTGCCCCCTCTGCATTCAGCCCCCCTTTGAAGCTCCAAAACTCCCCACTTCCTGACTGGGTGTCACTTAGGAAGGGTTGTTTGTTCTAGGGCTACTGTGCCCAACCGCAAATGCATGCACTGGGCTGTTTCTCTGTCCTATTGTAACCTAGTTATCCAGTTGCCCCAAAAGCTAGAAAAAAAATGGTTTGGGTCAGACAGTGGAATGAGGTGTACAGCTAGTTCGGATTCGAAGCCTAATCCAAACTAGCTAGTCCGTGCCGCGCGGCTACACGTGGCACGGGGTTCGGACTAGCCGGGCATTTAAAAGAAGCGCGGGAAATTCAAATCCCGGGCTTCATTGCAAGTGCGGTATGCCTACATTACCCCGCTAGTTCGGACTAGCAGGATAGGGTAGACATACCCTTAGGTACCTCTCCAGAGTTGCGATAGAAATGTAGCCGTGTTAGTCTGGTGTAGCTGAAACAAAATACAAGACTATGTAGCACTTTAAAGACTAACAAGATGGTTTATTAGATGATGAGCTTTCGTGGGCCAGACCCACTTCCTCAGATCAAATAGTGGAAGAAAATAGTCACAACCATATATACCAAAGGCCCTAATTACATGCATCCTACTCCAGAAGACTTTCAAATCTGCACTTGAAAGGGAATCCTCTGAACTGTCATTCATGCTAAAATTCGACACTCTCCGTGGGGGGTTGAACAAAGACACCAACTACCTTACCCATTACAAAGATAGCTTCCCCAATTATCACCTCTAATACCATTAGCTCATAGACATCTACCTTTCCCCACCTCTAATATCATTAACTCACAGACATTTAGTTCAGAGGATTCCCTTTCAAGTGCAGATGTAAAAGGTCTTTGTAGCAGAATGCAGGTAGTTAAGTCATTGAGACAGTGTCCTTTCTGGTTGAAATGGCAAGAAACTGTTTTTTCTTTGTGATCCTGTCTAATATCTGTTTTGTGGGCATTAATCCTTTGGCGAAGTATCTGAGACGTTTGTCCAATGTACATAGCAGACAGACACTTTCGGCACATGATAGCATAAATTATATGCTAGACACAGCCTATGAGTCTATGAGTCCAAGCTGTTGAAAAGCTTATGGAGCTGGGTGATGGACTCAAGTAGCAAATGAGCACAGCCCTTCCTGAATTGAGGTTAATTGAAGAGTTAAATTAGAACTTTCATTTTTACATAAGTCTTTAGAGTCTTTGTTGGAGACAAGAGGTCTGACAAGCAATGTTCCCGCTAATCTTTTTCATTTATGTGCAGATGTTTTTTATGAGTCAGCAGTGTGATGCTGTTGCAAAAAAAGCAAACATGATTCTGGGATGCATTAACAGGTGTGTTGTGAGCAAGACACGAGGAGTCATTCTTCCGCTCTACTCTGCACTGATTAAGCCTCAGTTGGAGTATTGTGTCCAGTTCTGGGCACCACATTTCAAGAAAGATGTGGAGAAATTGGAGAGGGTCCAGAGAAGAGCAACGAGAATGATTAAAGGTCTAGAGAACATGACCTATAAAGGAAGGCTGAAAGAATTGGGTTTGTTTAGTTTAGAAAAGAGATTGAGGGGGGACATGATAGTCTTTTTCAGGTATCTAAAAGGGTGTCAAAAGGAGGAGGGAGAAAACTTGTTCATCTTGGCCTCTGAGGATAGAAACAAGAAGCAATGGGCTTAAACTGCAGCAAGGGAGGTTTAGGTTGGACATTAGGAAAAAGTTCCTAACTGTCAGGGTGGTCAAACACTGGAATAAATTGCCCAGGGAGGTTGTGGAATCCCCATCTCTGGAGATATTGAAGAGTATGTTAGATAAATGTCTATCAGGGATGGTCTAGACAGTATCTGGTCCTGCCGTGAGGGCAGGGGACTGGACTCGATGACCTCTTGAGGTCTCTTCAAGTCCTAGTATTCTATGATTCTATGAACAGAATAATTTTTTTTGCACTGAGGCCTGTGCAAATGTGCACTATCACTAGAAACAAAAACCTAGCTGTGAGTGTTCTGCTAATCAGCCGGGCAGCATTTGAATCTTCCTGAGAGATCACATTAGTGCAAAACTTACAGGGCACACTATTGACAACAGGAACTGATCACTTGCAAGGCACTGTTGCCAGCACTACATAATCAACAATTGTGAGTTTGGTTGAAGGAAACAGGAAGGTTTTTCTTCTAAAAATTATAGTCTGCATTATTTATTTGTTTGTTCCTGAGCTGTCAGGCTGCTCTGGTCAGGTTGTCAACCTTCTCTATTCAACCATAAGAGCAAGAAACTGACCTCTGTTAAAGTGAGAGCTGAGATTGTTAAATAATCACAGGATTCCAGGAGCTGGGGCACTAAGAGAAAAACCAGCTAGTGCAGGAGTCAGTGTGAAATCAGGAAAGTTTGTGGCAGCTCCAGTGGGATGTTTTTGTGCTTTGATGTGGACAGGAAATAGCTGCATGTCTGTAGCTGTTGCAGGCCTTTATCTGGCCCCCATTACGGCACTCTCTAAGCAGCTCACACACTTCAGCATGTTGAGCTGTACTGTGTTGCAGATAGGAAAGAGAAAATCAGGCCCAGACGGAACAAGTGACATGCCCAAATTCACATAGAAAAGGGACCTGAACCTGTAACTACACTGTGTAACTTAGCACCCATAGATGGCTGATGCAGCTGGGGAAGGCAGGCCCCCATCCCCACCACAGCCTCGCACCCTCCGCTGAGGCACCATCCGACCACAGGAGTGAGGAGGAGCAGTGCAGTGAGTACGCATCCCCGCCCGCCACAGGGTGGGGATGAGTGTGAGCGCATGCCCCAGCATTCCCAGAGCTATGGGAAGGAGATGACTGTGTGGCCTGAGCTGGCCCAAGCGTCCCTGCCACCAGGAGCAGCAGGGAGGGAGAAGGCTATGTGAGTCCAGGATCCCAGAGCACGGGGAGGGCAGGCACTCCAGAGCAGTAAGGGTATGTCTACACTACAAAGTTAATTTGAACTAACAGCCGTTAGTTCATATTAACTTTGATAGGCGCTACACAGGCAAACCGCTATTTCGAACTTAAATCGAACTAACGGAGTGCTTAATTCAAACTAGGTAAACCTCATTCTACAAGGACTAACGCTTAGTTCGAATTAAGTAGTTTGAATTAAGGGCTGTGTAGCCACTTAATTCGAACTAGTGGGAGGCTAGCCCTTCCCAGCTTGCCCTGGTGGCCACTCTGGGCACAATCAGGGAAATTCTTCTGCCCTCCTCCCAGCCCTGGAGCCCTTAATGGGGCATGGTCTGGCTACAGTGCCTGTGCCAGGTGCAACCCTGCCAGCACCCAGCCAGCAGACCCTGCACCTGGCACGGATCGAGCCAGCCACCCGATGCACCCCAGCCCTCCCCCTCTTAC